GGGGAGGGAGAACTGCTCTTCAACTCGTTCCGACGGCTCGACATCCCAATACTTACTCGCATCCGCATCCGCGGCCTCCCATCTCCTATGCATGCTAAACGGACAGAGCGGTTCGTCTCCAGCCCCGCAGTACTCTACTGTCTCAACATACAATCCCAGGCGCGAGAATACCCCATAGAACAGCGCAGCCACTCCCTGCTGTTTCTCCCACGGACGCCAGGGCAAGACAGCCCGGATGGCAACGCGCCGGACGGGATGACCCAGATGCGTGCGCATAGCAGCCATATCGGCGATTCTAGAGTAGCATCGCATGGTCTCTGGGCTGACGTGTGTCTCGAGGCAGAAGACGCGCAGCCGAGGACAGGTAATCTTCTCGCGATCCCCAAGAACTGCACACAAGCGCTTGATGCAGGGCTCCCAGACGGCGACGCTCGAATCGGAGAAGAGTACGCCCAGCTCGACGAGGTGTGACATGTGTGGGAGGATGTTCGCGAACAACTCTGGGTCCCGGAAGCAGACATGCAGCGTGCGGATGGAGGATGGCTGGAACATAGTGTGTAACTCGGAGAGCCATGGTTTCCAGTCCAGTCCTTCCCGGTATGTCTTCGCTTGCATCCAGAACCCGGCGCGGAACGGACGTGATGAGTCGTACGCTTCTGAAGGACCAGCTACTAGATGCAGAGATCGTTCGACTGCGAAAAGCTCCAAGCGCGAGAGGGAGATCAAGAGAGGGGAGGTAGGGATACGAATAGACGTGGGATCCTGGTTCACGTCCATACCACTGAGATGCACAAGGACGCTGCCGGGTAAGTCCAAACAGTCGAGGAAGGAGAGTGTTATCCGTAAGCCACTCTCCGCAATTATGAGAGAACGCAAGTGTGACAGCGCGACGCGTTTGGGTTCAGAGGACTGCGAGAACGTGGCGTCGGAACTGAATGGATCCCGTACCTGGCCGACGTCTCTGAGCTGCAAGTATGACAGCCCCGCTGTCCTTGAAAGAAGCGTGAGCAGTCGACGAAGCTGCTCCACGAGGCTGGTATCGTGGTGCATGGAGAAAGAAAGGTAGAGATGGGTGAGATGCGAGAAGTGATTGCCTGGTAGCCACGCGACGGGCACGATAGCCAACGCTCGCAGCGTTGAGACCGTGTCACCGAAGAGGACAGGCATCGACCAGTTCGACGGCCAGGCTCCCCTGTCACGACGCTCGGACTTGGACATGATGGTGCAGCACAGCAATTTGACCAGGCGAAGCTGCAGAGGACGCTGATACAGCGGAGGATGCCGACTATATGAAGACCGCGCGTCGAAAATGTGGAGAGTCTGGAGCCGGGGCCTGCAGCCCTCCAGCACGCCGTCAACCACCTTCCGCCCTTTGTTCTTCACGATGATCCCCACCGTCAGCGGTGCGTTGCCGGATCGTTCGAGGAATAGCTTGAGCAGCGAATCGTTCGGCATCGAGCGGAAGCGATTCCAGAGCATCGGGGTACCAGTGGCAACATCTCTCCATCGGCGACAGACGTGCGTGATCGCGATGAGGGTGAGAAGAGGAGAGATGTCTACTTTGCGGGGTGGGGTGGTGTCATGGAGCGAAGTTTGTTCGCAGTGTGTGGCGTACTTAAAGATCTCGACGAGAAGTTCAACGGGAAGTCGATTGATGGATGGGAGGGCATTGATGCGGTGACATATTTCCTGGACAAAGTCTAGTGCTCGGGCGTGATATACGAGCAACTGGTCGAGGAATGCAGATAAGCGTATAGGGTTTCTATAGTTGAAGCGAGCGGACTAACCTGGTCTCGGCTACATCGCAGTCCAGAGAAAGGTCAACATGGGTTCTAGGGTACGATGACGATCTACAAATACCTCAGTCTCGACAACCTCTCATTCAACGAAGACTCCATGGGTGGCGCGGATACGAATAGGGGATGGCTCGAACACCCGTAGCGTCCTTAGTGGTGGTCAAGCAGCAACTCGGGACGGACCTACAAATAGTAGCCGAGCGAGTGGCCATCGACAACCGCCCCGATCTGTCTGCGCACGGGTCTCGGTCCGAGTGGACAACCTGGGAAAATGAATGCCAGATATGCGAAAGAGTGTGGTTTGATGATTGACAGAACCCTACTATAGTATGGTCTCGAATGTTGGTCGTGGTGGACAGATGTGGACCGAGATCACACTGTGGAGGAAACCGCTGTTCTCTGTACACACCGATATGTGCTGAATTCCGCATGTGCAGCTGATGAGAAGGGAAGTGATCGAAATAAGCCAGGCGAAAGGCACATGCGCCTACCTTCCCTGTCGTGTTCGGCGCCCAGATGAAATCACGATGAGCAAAACCCCGATCATACCTCCCATGGATTCCCCGTGTGATTACTGGTGTCCAGTCCAGGTGACGATGGGCGTCGTAAATGTAGTCACCCGTTCATTGATGCTGCCCGACACATGAAGTTGGGTCTTTGGATCGATTGAGATGCGTAGGACTTACGATGGATGTGTATAAATACTGGACAACATCATTGTGAGCGGTGACCAGTGTAGGTCTTATGAAGGCTTGCCCTTTCATGTCTCACTGTGTTCGAGCGAACAAATATGAGCACGGAAGCGCTAATTGACCCGCGACACGACCAAGTTGAAGTCTCATCCACATGCGCGCCATTCAGCGGTCACCTGATCCGAAGTTGGGCTCTTCCCTGTACTTCTCTTCGCTGTACTTGGAGGAACGGTCTCCGACACATCGAATCCCCCCCTTCTCGTCTTTCAGCTATGATTTTGCTTGTACAGGGTATGAACTCACGATAATACGGTGTAGTCTGGCTCTACCCGCGTGACTGAACCAATAGTAGACATGGCGTAGGCGTCTGTGTGTACAGTCTTGACACCACAACCATACTGTGCATTGCTCCATCCGCCTAGGATTGACGAGATCCTTCGTGGGCCTCGCGAACAACTGCATCTGGACACTGACTGAGGGGTCGTAAGGCAGAATGGGTATTGACAAAACTCACTCTTCATTGTTTCTCATCCGGTGATGCACGGAGCATGAGTCGAGCTCTCATAGTCCGCACAGGTTTCGTCGCTAATCCCGTCCACTGCGCCACGTTACCCGCATTGTTGTCCTTGCCTGTATTAGAGTTGTGTATGCCATCGCACAGGGTGAGCGCTGACGGCGCCTAGTATTCTATCAGATTGTGGTAAGGAGAGTACACCTCGAATGAACGCACCGATCATACGTTCATGGCAGATATCCAGACTCGGACGCTGGTAGGGAAGCCGAGCGGGTGGCCGCATAGGTGTACTGATAACCTTGTCAGATTGCGGACTATGATTGCCACTTGCATGTGGTTTGTGGTCGAAGAGGCACATCAGAGGCTATGGAGGCCTATGACGGTCGTAGGGAAGTTTGCTCAGGCTGTCAAGAGATTTCAAGTTTCAAAATTCTCACTGGAAAGGCGTCTATTGTCCTCTTATAGTGCTCAGTACTATAGACTGGGTGATGTATGTACTGTCTCAACTCACATCAAAAGTCTACTTACTTACCGGTATCCGAGGAACCCGGTCCGAGTGGGCGCTCTACCCCACACTCGGTCCCCTGGTGATGGCGAATGATCCTTATATCAGGGCCTTATTCACCCTCCGCTTTCGCATTCTACCCTTCTTGTAGTACCCGCCATGTCCTCCTTCCAGGTAGATAGTCTCTTCAGCGTCAAGGGTAAAGTCGCGCTGGTCACTGGCGGCAGTCGTGGCGTTGGGAAGATGGTAAGTCATCATCCGCGCTTGCGTGCGCCTCAAATTGAAATGAAAGGACGTCGGACGACTGACATGGGGTCTATAGATTGCTATTGGATTCATCAAGAACGGAGCAAAGGCATGTCTTTTGTTCGTGACATACAGTCAGGCCAAACTGAACAGACGGGGACAGGTGTACATCTCATCGCGTTCCGGAAAGGACTGCTCGGCGACGGAGAAGGAGTTGAACGCGCTCGGTCCTGGGCAGTGTATCGCCATCCCCGCAGATATACAGAAGCTCGAGGAAGTGGACCGGCTCGTGAAGGAACTCAGCGCGAAGGAAAAGGTGCTGCATATCCTCGTGAACAACGCAGGGGCGGCGTGGGGAGACACAATTGATGACTATCCGGTACGTGCCATCACTACTTCAACGCGCGAGATTATAAGGCAAGAGGGGGGGGGGCAGGAATAATGTTTAACATGAGATGCACAGGACGCCGCATGGACGAAGCTCCTTACGCTAAACCTCCAGCGCGTGTTCACTATCACGCAAAAGTGTCTACCACTTTTGCGCGCTGCGGCGGAAGAGGGTGGGCTGGAAGGGAATGTTTACCGAGACCCAGCACGCATCATCAACGTGAGTATAGTGGTGTTACATATTACCTACTCGTTCGTCGTCGCTCACACGAAGTGCCTGCAGATCGGTTCTGTCGAGGGTCTGACTGTGCCCGGGCATGAGACTTACGCGTACTCGGCCTCGAAGGCTGGTCTCCACCATCTCAGCCGGAATTTCGCCGGCCGACTGGGATTCGAGGGTATCACGAGTAATGCTCTCGCATGTGGTACGTGTCCGTTGATGTTTTACTTGTTGCTCGTCGTCTCATATCAATGCACTCAGGTCCATTCGAGAGTAAAAGTAAGCCAGCTAGACGTTCCGTTGCCTGCAGACTCGCTGATACTATTTCTCCTGCATCTAGTGATGGCGCACACTCTTCGAGAACAGGGAGAGATCATCAAAGCGAGCATCCCACTTGGCCGCATAGGGACACCAGAGGACGTCGCAGGGGCAGCTATCTTCCTCTCCAGCAGGGCAGGGGCATTCATTAACGGTGCTACAATCTCCGTCGATGGTGGTAGCATAGTGCGTATGGGTATCATGTCAAAGCTCTGAGACATGTTCATGTACATTCTCGATTCCACATGTATCCTTATACACTGAACTGAATCGACTGCCAATTGCGAATAATGAAACCCTCGAAGATCCCCATTTCATGAAGCGACACCAGCAGGATTTGAACCTGCGCTCCCAAAGGGAAACAGATAACTACTAACCGCTTGGCTATGATGTCACAGTAGGCGCTCGGGGACTTCGGGTCACGGGCGAACAAGCCGACTCTTTCTCCAAGTTGCTCCTTGTACAGTACTTCCACCATCACCATCTTTGCGGGCAGTGTGCTAACAGTGCGCGGCTCCATTTCCCTCGACGCTCACCTCCAATACAGCACATTTACCGAGACTAGTCGATAGGAGCGAGTTCCACGTCGGTCGGTTGTCAAGACAAGCCCGGAGCTGGTCCAGATGGCAAACAGTGCGCACGCATATATTCATTCCCTACACGATTTGCACCGATATTGACACTCAGTATGCCTGCCCAGAAAGTCGTTCCTATGCGCCAGCGCGTCGAGGAGTATGTCTCCAAGCTCCAAGACGATATCGTCACCGCGTTCGAGAAGCTCGACCCCAACGCGCCCTCATCCAAACGCGATAGCTGGACCTAAGCACAAGGCGGCCATGGTCTTTCGTGTGTATTCTCCGTTCCCGTCTTGCATCCAGGAGCTGCGCAGGAGGACACGGTGCTCGAGAAAGGTGGCGTGAACGTCTCGGTCGTGCACGATATACTTCCCCAGCCGCAATCCAGCAAATGCGTGCAGACCACTCGACCATCCCTGACCTCCAATACTCCGTGCCCTTCTTCGCTGCTGGGGTCTCTCTTGTCATCCACCCGCGCAACCCGCACGCACCGTTGGTTCATGCCAACTACCGGTACTCCGAAATCACTGAGCAGCCGACGGAAGAAGAGCAAGCGGCTGGGAAGCCGGGCAAGGTCATTGCATGGTGGTTCAGTGGCGGGTCGGACCTCACGCCGTCGTACCTCTACGAAGAGGACGCGATTCACTTTCACAAGACGATCAAGGACGCATGCGACCCGCACGGCGCGGACGTCTACCCGACGTTCAAGAAGTGGTGCGACGAGTACTTCTTCATCACCCACCGTGGCGAGGCGCGCGGCGTCGGCGGCATTCACTTCGACGATCTCTCGGACGGGCCCCATAAGCGGTTCGACGGGAACGCGAAGCGACCCAGAGGAGCTTTTCGCGTTCATCAAGGCTGTCGGCGACTCGTACATGCCGTCGTACATCCCTATCCTCGAACGCCGCGCGAGGCTTCCGAGCACTGAGCACGAACGGAGGTGGCAGCTGATTAGGCGCAGACGATATGTCGAGTTCCACTTGGTGTACGACCGGGGGACGAAGTTGGGCTCATGACTCCTGGTGCGCGGATCGAGAGTATCTTGATGAACTTGCCCGAGATAGCGCGGTGGGAGTATATGAGTGAGCTGGGTACAGAGGCGGAAAGTAGAGAGGTGAAGCTATTGGAGGTGCTGAAGACGCCTCGTGCATGGGTGTAGGCTGTGGAGAGCAGGGCGAGTGGTACGTGTTCATGCAATTTTAATCGTCGTAGGTAATTGCAGCATCTATATGCGACTGTGCAGTAGTCGAAACAAAAGTAAGTCAGGATATGCGAGGTAGCGACTGTTTCTGTTGTCCTGTAGCGTAACCACAGCTCTCATATCTATTGAACGCCCTTGTCTCTGTCATCATCCTCTGCTCTGCGCTATTGTTTTGTCGTCAGTAATCAAGCCAAGGCAAACAGTGCATCTGTCGGTCTAAGACGGCGTCATGGCACGAAGCACACTCGCATGTTGACCTTTTTGTGTTCATTACCCCGCCGTGCTCGGGACGAGCGGCGACCTCCGCTGTGGCGTATGTACCAAATAACTGTCTCTGCATAAAAGGGACTCAGGAAGCTACAGAGACATCACCTAATCAAAAACTTGATGCAGTATGGTTTCGCTCCCGCGACCCAGTGGTACTAGTAAGTGATCCTATTACGCTACTCCATTGCATGCGGTCTTGATAGTTGTTATCCAGCAAGTACAAGTCGAGCTCCGGCAAGCACAAGCCGAGCTCCAGCAAGTACAAGCCGAGCTCCAGCAAGTACAAGCCGAGCTCGAAGTCAAACCGCAAGTGAAGCTAGAAGTCGATTGCATCGACCTCTTTCGTCTGCCAGGTCGTCTCTGCGTCAACGCACGAAACGTGGAGACGCCAATCCCGAACCTTCCTTGCTAGCTGTCGCTCCGACGATCTCCCCAGACAGAGAAGACTGGACTATGGATGACACCCCTAGAGCATCTAGTGAACAGGCACCGTCCCAGCACACGCCATGGTATCCGCTGTCCACTGGGAACCAGTTGGCCGAGAAGGAAGCAGATTTGATTTGGCTAGAACTGAATTCTCAGCTGCAGTCACCTTCAAACGATGCACACTCCAATGGCAACGGTACAACTACACTGAAGTTGTCGCCGCCAAACGATCACGATGAGGTGATGCCTGGATTGGCCTCAAATCCTGAGCTTGATGAAGATGAAGAGAAGGACGAGAGCTCCTCACCCGACCCAGACCATCCCGTACGCCCAACCTTTTCCACGTCCCATCACAGATTTCCGTCCAGGCCGGGAAATCATGGCACGTCCGCAAACTGTGTCGACGAGATGCCGATCGGTTCTCTCCCTCCTGGCCACGCCACCTCCATCATTATCATTCACACCGGACACGAGGCCTCGCATGATTCCGAAAATTCAACACTGGACATACTCAACCCAGCCGGCCATACGCTGAGGCACCGAGTAATGAATGGCGACGTTGAAATCCGTCACATGAGCGTGGCCCATTGTCAGCTGCGCACTACTAGTACTAAACACAATGGGCGTACTGCAAGCGACGCTGCTGACGGGCGGCCGTTGGTCACCTTCACACTCGGCCTGTCTCCATGCGCCGACAATCGCTCACAGCTCAGTGCTGCCTCGCCTGCGCTACCTGCGCTACCTTTGGTATCTGAGCCTTGCTCTCACTGCCATGAAGGCCCCCTATCATCCGTGCTCGAGCACGCCGTCGTCCAGGAGGAAGAGGAGGAAGAGGAGGAAGAGGAGGAAGACTGTTTTGTCGTTCCAGGAGATGGCGAGGACTACGAGCGGTCTGAGTCCACTTCCTACAGCCCGAGTTCAGTCGCCACCTGGGATGAATGTTCGGAAGACGAAGGTGTTGATGATGACAACATGTCCTCCTCACACGAAGCGATCCCAGCGACAACTCAAGGCGACGACGATGGAATTACATGCGACTACAGCCCAAGGGCACAAAGTCCGTCCCGTAGTCGTGACGACACTCCCACAAACGGTTTCAATGATTTCGTCATGGTGTTACCAACCCCCGCAGACATTCAGCATCCTAGCCCATTCGATGCCCTCAGGGAACCGGCGCCAAAACCGCAGACAGAGCTGACCGATGACCAATGGAAAGTAGTGAACAGCTGTTGGGAGACCTTAGAGCCTTTGTCCACGGATGAAAGGTGGAAGATCCTCTGCGAATTGATCAACCGTGTCTAGCAGCTGGATCTCCAGTGTGAAGCTGTGTCTAGGCCCCTTATCACAGCGAACAGCGACACCTCAGATAAACCCATGCGCTCGGACAGCGTAGAGATCAACTTCGACCCGTAACCCACGCAAGGGGAAGCTCTGCACGAGAGCCTGGTCACTCAGTACAGTTAACATTGGACCCATCAATTGGACTGTTTGGACTGGAGTCATATGTTGGAATAACTATGGACTATGGACTATAGATGCCATTAGGCGCTTACGGGCACAGCATTTTCTTTGGCTATGTTTCCTTCTTACCCAATATGGTATACTCAATACTGTACTTATATGGTTATCAGTTCTCGCTTTGTCCAGTTCATTCTGGTGCATTTTACACTGCTCTGGATAGTTCTAGATAGTCTCGGATGCATCCATGTGACCATCTTTAGTACTTTCTACACCCTTCTCTTTGTTCTGTCTGAGTCATTGCTCCACCTTTCTTACTCATCGTTGGTTCACTCTGACTCAGACATATCACATGCTCTCCTTTCTGTTGCTTACTCATGCAGCTCCTGTACAGTATATAAGGAGGGACTTTCAGGGCTTCGTCTCCTCAGTCTTTGCTCACTGACTGAGGAGTAAGTACTTTGTTCTACTATATGCCTTATGCTCTTACTTACATAGTACCTATAGCTCGTCTGTCTGCGTGTCTACTAGGTACTTATCCCTTCATGATTATAGTCTTTGCTCACTGACTGAGGACTCGTCTGTCTACGTGTCTACTAGTCGTTGCAACTCTTGCCTTCACAGGTTCAGACTTCATCATCGTATGTGGTAGGAGGCTTCTGTATGATTATGAATGAGATTTCTGTTGATGGTGTACAGACAACTGAGAGCCACTAGATGTATTTCTGAATAATTTGCCTCGGAATAGTGTCATAATATTGTGAAGGAAGAGTGAAAAGGTTTATGATAGTCATCAGTGACAATGGTAAAGCTTTTTGTAGTCCTTTACACTGGCTCTACAACAAAGAACTGTTTTTAGGACAATAGTACAACAAGGGTTACAATAGTCTTTGCAATGTTACTGTATGAATTTCACTGTTCTTTTACAGAAATCTTACCATAGCCTGGCCAGGATTGTTCTGTCCTGCACCCAGTGAGCAATCAGTAGATGTCATGTACTACAATTCGCGTATTATTCATCGTGAAGCGCACATGCACTGTCCCGTCGTGACGTGTATGTTAAGCATACATCACTAAATTCGACCCTTATGAGTCTCGGAAGTTCATACTCTGCCGATGCCCTTTTGTGAACAGTGGGCTCAAAGACTCATGCAATACACAAGATGAAGGTGATGTAGATGTTTTTTTGGTTTTTTTTGAATCCTTGTTTATTGCCCTTGAGGGCCGGGCCCTATGGTAGGCAAGTCACCACATGTCGACAGGCTGCATGCACTAGGCATATGGAGGAGGTTATCTAAACGTAGGTAGGGGACATAGCAGAGCCATTAGCTTGTGATGGTAAGGTATGGTAAGTAAGCAGAGACCGAGAGATCGAGGAGAGAACTGAGAAAGAGACCAGAAAGAGAGATAAGGGGCCGTGTATGTACAGTAGGGTATAGTATCAGATGGGAACAAGATACGGGGTAC